AGTCCCCACGGCTATTTGTTGGAGAAGTAAATACTGGCAGGACTGGAATGTGATTTTCCTTTACAGATACCTGCACCGCACCTCTTGGTATCATCTTTGAACAAGGAGTAACATTTAAGCTCTCATCAGTTTATCATCTGGAAGGTCAGGCATTCCAGAATCCTACAGTGAAATACAAATCTTTAAGCCTTGTGGTCTAGCTTTACTCTTCTTCCACTTTGTAAGAATACTACAGTCTTAGATTTGCTTTATAAGGCAGGTATGAATGAAACCTAAGGTATTTGCAGGCTCTTTTTATGATATGTTGCACAGTGTCCTGCAGTTTGTTTTTCTAATATTTTTTCATACACGATCAAAGAACTAAGAAGGTCATGCTACATTTGAAAAAGGAAAACTAGGTAAACAATAACCAGACATTTATATCGCTAATTTTTTACTGAGTATTGAAAGAGTGTTCATCACTGTATCAAGAGGCTGCAGCATTTTAGATTTTTTTGGTGTGTGATTTAGAAGTCTCCCATTGTTTACAGAAAGCAACCATGGTTTGCAATAGCCACACCAAATTTTTTCTTTCTCTTACAAAATGGTTTCACAGGGCAGTGTGTGCTGGCTGTCACTTGCCACTGATGAAATGGGGAAGGTTCTGTCCCCTAGCCCTGCAGTCTGTTGCAAAGTATGATGCATCTGCACGCTGAAGTCTCTCATGACCATCCCAAAAGAGATTCAGCACAAACTATTTAGGTTAAGGTTAGCAAGTCTTAGTAGCATTTTTCTTGAGCCTGGTTCACTCTGACTGAATCAAAGTAAGAAATGATTACTTAAGCATTTGTGCAAGTTCAGTTAACAGGATGCGAAAGGCACTAACCACCTACAGGAGGGGGTGATGAGCGGCAGAAAGTTCACATGCAGCCAGAACACTGAAGCAGTAGCTTCAAGGTGAATATTAAACACTGCATTCATAATCTATGCAAACCATTACCACTAATAAAGTAAATACCAGCACAGAATGATCTTTGACTACTTCGCCTGATCCAGTAAAAAGCTCCACAACAAGCTTAGCCCTTAAAATAAATATGAAGCACAGAGTAAATTGCAATGCAGATTAATTACATTTCCTGCATATTGACTGTAACAAGAGATTTAGCAGATCTTACTGCTAACAACTCTCCATTGTATCCTCATCATTAGTGCAAACTTTGCATCTAATGTTGCTCCTCTGTACTCTTCTCCTAAGCTGCCTGCAATTATCTGATCAACGAACTGGTTTAGATCTGGCAGATGAGCGAGTCTCACATTTATGCTGCCTTGTTGTGGCTTCATTTTGCTTAAATCTATTGGGTTTTTTTGTTGGGTTGTTTTTTTTGGTAAATAAAGATTGTTGATTACAAAACATTTTGTTCACAGTGTAACAGGTTTAGCAAAATTTCTTGAGTTGTAGATGGGGCTCTACCTGGACTGCTGGAGCACAACGGACCTGGGAGCTCCATGTTCGCAGCTAAAGCAGCACCCTGTATTGCAGCACTCCAGGGTTTGCAACTGATCCCATGACTAGGTAGAACAACCCTGAGGCTGTGGTACAAGGGATCCCTGGCTGCCCGGATCTCTGCTGTGAAACCCCAAATTGCTAGCATGGTTTGGGTGTCAACACTCTCCCTAGTACTAGAGCCAGGGCTGAAGAGTCATAGACTCCATTGCTGCAGACCCAGGACAGAGAACCAGGAAACCGTGGAAAAAGAACCCAGGGAAGGTGTTTCTAACGAGGTCAATGACAGTGAAGCTGCCCCAGGGATTCAGCAGCGGTATACCTCAGACATATGTAGGAACTCATTACTCATTTATCATTAGTCAAGACACACTGCCTGCCAGTGAAGGCTTCTAATATTTGCAGTTTTACTATGGCAGAAGAAAAGCAAGTAGTAACCCATTCTGACCACTTTAGGGCTGGATGTGTTTGTGGTAAGATAGGAGAAGCCTTTAAGAGTTAGCTTGACACTTAAACCAGGAACAAATAATTGCAGAATCATGGAACACAATGTCCACAGTGGTATGTGAAAATAGCTGCATAAAAAACACACTAAGAAAGAGATAATCAATCAAGAATCTTTACAGACAAAACTACTCAGAGTTCTTGTAGCCCAAACTCTCCTTTCAAGCAGCATCAATCAGTAAATATGTTTGTAAATGAGACTATATTTCTGTAAAGATCAGCAGTGTTTTAAATATATTTCAGTTACAGGTCCTAGTTTAACGGCTTCTTTAATAGCATACTTTAAAACAACAACAAAAGCCAAAAAACCACCCCTAAAAACCAGATGCTTTTCCCTCCAAAAGCCATATGTTTACCATATTGGTAAAATACATGAATAGGAGCATTACCTTCAACAGAGCAGTGCTGCTGCTCATCTGAGAGCAGTGGTTAAGTTTCCCTGCAGGTGCTAGACTGATGTGCAATAGCTCTGGGAATGTATCAATATGGCTGGTTATCAAAGCCAATTCTCTCTGAAAAACACAAAAATACAGATGAAGAAGAGTGCTCCTAATTCATTTTGTTACAAAGTAGTTCTGTTTTGAGGAGAATTAGGATTACGTCCCATGCAATCATCTTTGCACTCCTCCTTGAACAGCAGCTTCATCAACTGAGCTGATGTGTCAAGCCAGCTGTGAATGGTCGCAGGGGAGATAATTAACCTCTGTGGGCAGGGAACCCACTAGAAAACATACCTTTGTCTGTGAAGAACTGGCATGTTGGCAGCACTTCCTCGTTACGCATAAGCCAAAAGTGGTATTTGGTTGACAGCATCTGGGAAGCATTGGGGCACAAACTGTTGTCCTTTTGCATACCTATATGGATTTCCTTTTATTATTTGCGACTGGGAACTAGGAGAGTCAAACAAAATGCTGAGTGACAAAGGAGTTGCTTTTTACTGTCTGCTGTTGTTTAGCAACATCATTCTTCTAATTTGCACCTTAGTTTTCCCCACACTTTTGCTCTGTAAGTCCATAAAGGATCATTTTCCATTTCAGCACTAAAGAAATCAATTTCCTCTCAGTTTTGTGAACTATGTACTCCACAGGAACTATATTTCTAGGCAATTTGTTGTATGCCTGCTGAATCCAAGACATAACAGGACTAACTGAATGCATTTCTCAGTTGTCACATGAGCAAGTCTCTCTATAACAAACGCTGCCAGCTGCTGAGTTGCAGGGCACGTTATGGCCTACCTACTGGGCTGAGATTCTTGAAAGGGCTGTAAAATTCTGAGGGCAGGAGTTACAGCTCAGGCCTCAGCACGTGCCTGACTTCAGAGAAACTCATAGTCGTGGCAGAAGGACACCACCAGAAGGTCATTTTACTTTTTTCTTAAGCAACAATGTTAGCAGTGTAGGTAGGTTTCAACTTCCAACCAAAAACTTATCATAGTAGGTACAAAAGTAGGAATAGTCAGGGCAGCCTCGATAGTGAAAAAGTTTAAACATAAGAAATAATCAGCAAGAATGCAGAAAAGATTGCAGTCATGTTGGCCAATTAGCATGTGAAAATATAGTCTGGGTTCTGAAATTTTAAATGATCGGCACCACTTAGCTCCAGCAGGGAAACTCTAAGGATGATTTTTATTTAGTGATTGTATTTTGCATAATAGCAGCCAATTATATTCCTCAGCATGCAAATTTTGATTGCCTAGACGTACACTATCTCAGTCTCTGACCTTCTGTGACTATTATACTGCTCTTTCCTCAGGCAAATTGCTCAAGTCAAACTATTAAGGAGACTTTTAAAGACATAAGTAGTATAGTACACACACAGAGGTACACATTCTTTTATACAAATGCTTTATTAAAAATGCTTCTGGGATGGCCTGTAACAAAACTATACCCGTGTAGAGTTAAAAAAAAAAATCAAGACAAAATGGTATCTATTACAATGCATTAATATGTTTTCTATCATTCCAGAAGTCAGTGGTCAGTCAATTGGTCAGTGCCCAATTGTGAACTGTTAAACTTGCTGTCTATGTATGCTGCAGGCTATCCAGTTTGAGATATTACTCTACATAAATGTGGAACTTGATTCAAGTCTTGGTTTGAAAAAACTTCATATATATTTTGAAATGTTGTTTGTGGCTACAGTAGAGTGTAGGAAAAATAAGCATTATTTCTAATATTTACACAAGGACAAACAGCACAGACTCTTACAAAAAAAAAATACAGTACAGGGACTTTTCACAACATCTGCAATTGATGCTTTGAAAGATTCAGCCTTTAGAATTGAAACTCAGAGACAGTTAAACTTTCTATCTCCCCTTTCTTCTCCCCCACCCTCCCCAATATTCAAATTCTTTACTCAGTAGAATTGATTCATGTAGAATGTTAACGTAGAACAACTGTGTTTTCTTCTTAGAAAACACATGTATTAAATATATTCAGGACAGATCCCGTTTTCCTTATGTGAACAGATTTGCATGTGTAAGGCAAAAAAAAAAATCGACCCTGTAATTATAATTGAAAACATTAAGATCCGACTGCACCAGCAGAAGACAATTCCACCATATTTTGTCATGCTTCCCTTCAGTTTCAAAATGACTGTTGTGTCCATGATGATGCCAGCTTGCTTTGCAGCCATATTTCCCTTGGGGTTAAAAGGGGATCAAAATTTAGACAATGTATGCACTAGTATTAGAGAAAACCAAAGACAGCACTCACCATTCAAGTGTTGGTTGTTACTCCCTATACAGTAGCTTTTATTCTAGATCCTTCAGTGTCTCAGAATAACTTTGGCCAAATAAGAACGTGCTAAGCATGTCTAGTACGGGCAGCCTATATCAGCAAGAGAGGGTATTTAGAGGTATAACCACATTTCTGTTAGCACTTTAAAAGCATAGCAATATTAGTACCATGCCAGAAAAAGCTTCATGCCTAAGGCAAACAGTAACGTCTCAAGGATGTCTGTAGAGGACCGTGGTTGGCAGCAATACAAGCACAGTGTCTCAGGAGAACTCTTCACTACTCTTGCTGTTATGATTCCTGATTTTTTATGTGGAGCTGCCGAATGTGGAGTGTTTGTGATTTGAGTAAGTATAATGGGTAACAAGTTTGCGGCTGTTAGAAGGTAGGATGCAGTGTGGGTCCCAGAGACAACAGGCTAACGCTAATCATCTGCCCACACATCATTTCCTCTCATAAATAGCTATATTTTGCTGTCTTAGAATCCTTCATTTAAACCTCTGTTCCTTCCCTGGAATACAGAGTGTTATTTGTGCTGATACTGCTGTAAAAATGGGTGTTAAACTGGTTGAGCACAGAGTTGCTGTAGCCAAGGTGGCTAGAAGGCATAGAATTGGACCACTCTCCCACACCATGACTGGGGATATTGGAGAGTGGAGAGTAGGAATTAAAGCCTACCATATTCTGTCCCATTTTGTCAATGGGTTCAGAGTTGAGTCCCAAAGGCACTGAGCGGCTCACTGAGTTAGAGCCGTTAACATACGCAGTCATACTGGAGAGGAAGTTACTGAGGCATGGGCTACTGGAAGATGGAGGTGGAGATCCTTTCTCAGGTGAATTGTCAGTCCCAGGTGATGAGTTTTCCAGGATATCCTGATGCTCAACAGCTTTGGGGCTGCCAGTCAGGGCAGTATCCTCTGATTTCTCAGATGCAAGAGTGGCAGCATTAGCCCCAGTGTCAGACTTCCTTTTCCTCTTCCTGCGAAAGTTTCCATTGTCAAACATCTTTTCACAGTTCGGGTCCAGAGTCCAGTAATTCCCTTTTCCTGCCAAAGGGGACAAAAGCGTATTTTCAGTTCAAAAATATGCGAACAGACCGCAAAGAGCAGTCTTCTAAGGCTTTACAATGTTTCTCTCATTTCACAGAAACAGAACAATTGCATGAGCAAAAACCATATGCATTTTTTAATCACACAAAAGCAGAAGTCTGTTGGATTCAGAAAAAAGTGTAAAGTTTTGGGCTGTATCCTTTAGCCCTGACTCTTCACACAGGTAAAACTACAAGTGGAGCCACCGGGAGGGCTTTTTGTTCTGTTCTGTTTTCTGGGTGAGGGAAGGAGGTTTTCGGTATATAGCTGGTCCTCTGAATTTACAGCAGAGAGTAATCAAACACCACACTGGGCTGCTCCTCCAGATTCAGTGGGGTAGAATAGGTTTCTAACAAGATAGAACCAGATTTTTGGCCTTCTGTGGCAGGATAATTGAATAGCTTTTAAATGTTCCCAATGGTTCTCAACAGCTATTGATAGAAAACAATAAATAAAGGAACAACCCGACAACATATAAGCCAAGGGGCTGGAAACAGCAGAGGTGTGATTCCAAGCAAAACACTATTTGAAACAAACAAAATAAAAGCAGCCTGCTCTCCTCTTGAGAATTATTGTTGACTCCCTAACGCTACTGGATTTCTTTGACAAATCCGAGTTTGCCTTACCCCTTTTCCGTTAATTTCCAGCTAAGTTTGACGTAAGTCATACGCATTACACCAAATGGGTTTTGGATGTGACTTGCTCAGTTAGACTACTCCTGTGCTTGCTGAGCCTCATGCTCAGCACACTGATCAGTTCTCAGGAAGACCTAGAGCAGCAGAGAATCCCCTCCCCTGCAGAGATTTAATAGCAACACTGATTCAGACCTCAGCTATGCATAGTTGCCTTCTAGTTCAGACCTACGAAAACAGAAGAGCTAGTATGTGTATGTCCTGTACCTAGGCTATTATGTCTCTTTACAATGTATTAGGCATTTTTAAATTAATCGTTTAATTAGAGGGGGGAAAAAAGAGGGGGAGAGAGCTATACCTGGATCATCTTCGTCTCGGGGCACCTTCTTGAAGCAGTCGTTGAGAGACAAGTTGTGCCGTATGGAGTTCTGCCAGCCAGCTTTGCTTTTGTTATAAAAGGGGAAGTTGTCAGCCACATACTGGTAGATCTGACTGAGAGTCAGCCTCTTTTCGGGTGCTCCATGGATAGCCATGGCAATAAGTGCAGAGTAGGAGTAAGGTGGTCTAACCAACTTCATCAGCTCTTCTTGGGACGGGAGAGGAAGCCAGCCAAGGTCAGTTCCTCCCAAGCCATGCATGTTAGGCAAGAGCTGCCTTTGCATCCCGTAAGACTGAGGAATGAAGGGACTGGCATTGGATCCTGGGAGATACGGTGGTGGGGTAATAGAAGGTCCATTTAGCCAGAGGTAAGGATTGGGAGTGGCGTTGTAATCCGTCGTCTCAAAGGTGCTTGGTCGCTGTGGACTAGGGATGTTCTGTGGATGGAAAAAGTTCTCATAGTAGATACTCATCTCTGGAGGTTCTTGACCAATATTTGGAAATTGTGGGCTGCAGCGTGGTGGAGAGTGCGTTTGTGGATCAAAGGAGCTCATGCTCTAACACAGGCGGCTGATAAGTTATGACACACCTGTGCTAGTGCTCCTTTCCAGAGACAGGTGCATCACCTGCGCCCTTCCCTACCTACTTATGCACCTGTAAATGTTTCAGCTTGTGCTACAGGCTCCACCCCACAGCCCTGAGTGGCTGCAGATGAGGACGATATCCTTTTTGGAATGCTGGCAGTCCCAGCCAGTCACTGATGTCACATCAACCAAACCTGAAAGTTACAACTGTTTATCTTCTTAAATGAATGAAGGAATTTTCCACTAATGTGATGCACATAAAGAAAGCCTAAGGTGCCTTGAAGTTAAAACCCCTTATCAGAGGTCCTCCTCCTTCCACCTTTCACAATGAAGCTTTAGCATTTAGTATTTCTTTCTTTTTAAAGAAAAGGCATTTTGTGCTGCTGCTAGTAACACCTCGGAATGCAAAAGCCATTGTCACTCATCAATGAAACAGTAGGCATATATATACACACTTAAAAAAAAAAAAGAAAAAAGAAAAGGTCAGACCTCCTTTTCTTCCTGTAATTTTAATTGCGGAGTTGCTTGTACTTCCCCCTAGGCAATCACAGTACTACAGGCAAATTCTGTAGCTGGTTACTCACGTGAGTAATCTTAGTGATATAAATGGAATTACTCCCTAAAGTAAGGATTAATCTTGTGAGAAAAAAATTTCAAGCTTAATCATCAAACCTTTCTTTAGAGCTTAAATTGGTGAACTGAGATGGGAAATCATTATTTGCTGCTTCCTCTTTGCTGCAGGATTGGTGCAGAGAGCTCATAAAACCTCTTAGCAGACTTTCCAAACAGGAAAGAGGCAGTGTTCAGCACAGCTCTTTTCAGCTAAGTTCCAAATAACTTCATTTGTATCTATACAGACAAAAGCTGATTCCTTAAAATTAAGCAACAAGGCAAAACCTCTAGCCTTTTTATGACTCGGAAAAATAGTTACTGCCTTGCATGGCACCCTGCACTTTTGAAGGAGGAAAAAGCAGAGCTGCAATCTCACCAACACCTGTCTCAGAATGAAGACAGCTCTTACAACTGTGTCACTGCATGAAAGACTGCACTGTAGTTAAAAGCATAGTTGCAGTTCCCTTCAGAAGTGATATTTGTGTATGTTTTTTACGTTTAAGGCACATATATACATTTGGAACTTGACTCAGCCTTAATATTCCATGCAATTAAAGAAAGTCCTGGTATGACAAGGCCTTTAAGATGGCTCTAGTCCTATAATTTCTGCAGAAACACAAGTTTTGACCTGTAGATTTGAATTCCCGGCTGTACCAAAGACTTTTTTGCTTTGTCACACATTCATCAATTCACTTAACCTTTTGTGCTGCAGCACCACCAAGATTTCCCCCCTCCCCAAGCATTAGTGATTCACCAATGTCATGTTCATATTGTTGTTGCTTTGAAAGGTACGAAAAAAATTTCACTGGAAATACAACTGAAATATTGAGTACAGAGTGACAAAGCTAGCCAATTTGCCAGCTCAGAAATGCGTCTCTACAGCTGTTATTTAAAAAAATACATGCTTTCACTGCACATAAAATCATTTGTACTGCAACTATGGACAAACAAGTTGCTATTTTAATTTGAATGACAGAGTTCAGAGTTTGTAAATGCTCACTAGCCTATGCAGAGATACACATAAAACAGACAAAAGTTAAGTGGAACATAGTGGGGCTGGCTTATTTTCTAAGTGACAGCTGCTGTGCAAAAGGTGACTTGGACAAAAAAAACAAATGATGATTCATTTTTCAGGAAATAATAATGTGAGTACCTCCCTCTTCAAGAAAGCTATCTAAAATAATATTTTTCTCTACAAGAAACTGAGTTACAAACATGCAAAAAGCTGTTTGAGCAACATTGCCTACAGCTTCCTAATTAACTTACTAGCATATAGATAGATTTTAAAATTATATCCGTAGTCCTGCAAATATTAAAGTTACAAATATTGCTAATAAAAACCCCCTTTACAGAAGAGTCAATGCAACAAAATGTTTAAAAAATGCTCAAATGAGTAAAAACACTTTTACAATTAACTAAGACCCAGAATATAGTGTGAAAAGTAAACATAATCAATTTTTGATCCGCTCAACAAATTACATTTTTGCCAAAAAAAACCCTTGAAAACAAGAAAAACTTGCAAATTTATTACTGCTCAGGGTTCATTTATTCCAAGAAGTAAAAATTCACCTAACTGCATCATGGACTTTGATGAGTGGCATCTAAATACTTATTCCCTGAGGTGCTCTGCATGCATAGTTACAGTTAAAATACACTGAAGTGGGTGCTGAGTGAATGCATGCTTTGAAAATATGCCAGGCACTACAAAGGAAAAAAAATATTACTTCTGCAACCAGAGACTGATGAAGGTTCTAAAACTTCCTCCGCAAATTAATCTTTATGAAGTTCTGGTGCGGTGCATTTTAGCAAGGTCAACCCCTAGCTGTGCTCTGCAGCTGCCTGAGAATGCACGTTACTACCAGACCTACCTTGATGTGACATCTGAGCAAAGTATCACACAGAACTAAGAAAGCAAGGACTGGGGTGAAGAATGGCAAGTACTGCTTTTAGAGCAATGAAGTACAAAGACAACTGTAGGCTTCTGCCTACGGACCTCCGAAAGAGAGTGCAAAGGTTTGATCCCTCCCTGACATGTGTGGCTGGCACAGTTTCTAGCATAGACACAGTCTGATCAGCAACTTTTTTCTTCCAACTGACTGCGCCTGATTTACTCAGATCGGAGTATAAACAATGCCAGTAAAAATGGTACTTTGTCAGTACTATGGGCACACCTTACTGCTTGAGAATCATTGCAATACATATTCCTGTATAGCACTTCAGGTGCAGATGCTCATACGCAGGCAAAAGGCAGCAAGGAAAGAAGAAACTTTGCTCAAGCTGTGATCGCTGAGCAGGGCTGGTCAGAACTGGAGTTAAGTGAGTCTAGCCAGGAATACTGCCCTGGGGTCCTCACCACTGAGACTCCTGTTCTTGGCAGGGCTGGAAGGAGAAGGTAGCAATCCCAGAAGTGGAGAAAGGAGAAGGAAAAATGGTGAGGCTTCCATATGAAAAGGCTGGGAAAAGGTGATATGCCGACCAAGCTATGCTAACAGATCATGTTTAGGGTTGAAAAACTCTAGAAATAAAATGGAGGCTGATGCTGGAGTCGTAGTTTAGTGATCATTACTTCCAAATGCATTGGGTTTGGTGAGGTCTTTGTAGGCAGGACGCATCATGTTTTTAACATTTCTTTTTACTTCAGTACTGTACAGCCCTGAGTGCACGTCTCTACCAGTTGGAAGCCTGATCATCCACAGATTGTGTCAGATGGAAGACAGTTGTCAACTCTTGTGTTATATGAAGATTTGCTCCTCTTGATTTCTTAAGCAAAGCTTCAAAATCTGCAAGGTTGAGGCCAAGCCCCTGCAGAACTGTTGCTTTCCATAGGTTTTTTAGGTCAGCTCCTATCTACCCCTCCCTCCACTCCAGCCAACAGTAATATTTCTTCACACTGATTGCCCTTTTACAAGGGAAACCATAATTGTCTGAAATCTTGGGTTATGAAAAGTTCAAATTAATTTCATTAGAACTGGGACTCCTCAGCATTTTCACTTATACTCCAAAGTAACTTATACATTCGGTGTTTTTGAAATGTAATGACTTGAGAGAAGTATGTGCACACCAGCACACAGTAGGAAGCAAAAGCACAGGGGTCAAAAGGTAGAGAATAATATGGGGAACTCTTTGTACGCTTTTGTAATGTTTTAGCTGAGATACTCCTAACTACCTTCTTAACTGGATCTTTTGAAACGATAAAGCAAAATAAAGCACGATACCTGCTAGTCTCACAGGCTCCTTTAGGTCGTCAAGCTGTTTCACAGTGTGACAGCTTTAGAGAACTTAGATCAAAAGCACCATGCCTGCATGATGCAAAGTACAACGTAGTGCAAACCCACTCGAACGACTCAAACGGGTTCAAAATTTTGTAGTAGTAACTTCATCCTGGCAAACCTTATAATGTACTGCGTATCATTTGTCCCTCATATAGCCAACATAAAGCACTCTGCATCATTAGTCAGAAATCAAATTGATTGTTTACACTTGATCTAGATCATGATACATATTGCTAGATAATCCCATGGTGCAGAGATCTATTTTTAATGAATATGAAGCTTTAGGCTGTACTGTTAACATTGTGTATAACCCCAATCCTGGTGTATTAGAACAGTTTAATACCTTGCTGAAGAAAAGTTCATACAAGCTATTTATGTGGTCACAAAGAAGAGGGAAAAGTTGTTTTTAAAAGAAAAGAGTTCATCTACAACTCAGTATACCAAGCAACTCACCTTGTTTCAAAAAAATCAAACACTGAATTCAGAAACAATTCAGTATCCATCGATAAGACATTTTCACATAATGACAGGTTATCTATATTCTTGGTTGTCTAGTAGATTACTTGTAAAAGTCTTCATGGCTTACTGCAATAATCATCTGCCAGTGTATGCACAAAATAAACCACACCATCAGAAGAAACAAGGTGTAGCAGGCAAAACCATGTCATCTCAAGGTCATTACAAAAGCATAGGAAATGTAAAATACAGTATTGCAAAACAAGGGAACTGAGCTTTTATTTCTAGAAATGCAGGTTGAACATTAAATTAATGGAAAAGGCAATATCATTTGGATCTCTGCCATAAGTGCTGCAATGCTAGAATGCCCTTAGACTTTTTAAGTCTTTCAGAACAAAACCACTGTGGATTTTTAAAGCAACTTTATGACTGGGGTTTTAGAAGACTGTAAAGCCTTATAAGGGCTAGTAGCTGCTTTCCGACCATGAGAACTATGATAATAAAAGTAGTCATAACTCCTGCTCCAGCAAAGACCTTCCACCATCTTGCCAACATATAATATGGTAGAGGGGATTAGGTGTCCCCTGACTCATGCATTAGTCATGACAGGCCGTAGGCAGGCAAGAAATC